AATCCAGCAGGACCCGGGTCCTCCGCAACCTCCCACTTCAGGTGAAGGCCATCCCGGGGGACGGGGCCACCCCGCTCCCACCAAGGATGGGGCTGTGCGAAGACGGGACGGGTCCAGGGCCACCGCGCCGCCGGCGCATGGGTCCGGTCCAAGTCCCCACCCTGAGCATTTCCCAGTACCAGCCGGTCCCTCCTCCCCGGCAGCAGGATCTCCTCCGCGAGGGTTATTATTTTAGATATATATTTTTTAAAGAATTCTTCGCCTACGTGGAGCTCGGCGCTGCAGGAGAACAGCGCAAACAGCTTTATCGAGGGCAGCCGCGCCGCAGGGGCACTTCCTCATGCGCGGCTGCAAGATGGGGCCTCTCCATCGCTGCCGGGGCTGGCGAGGGCTGGCAGGGGGGGTTGGCAGCCCCTGGCCTTCCCGCTGACCAGACGGGCACCATACGGTCATTGGGAGAGGTTTGCTGGGCTGCTTTCCTCCCAGCTCCGCAGCAGGGAGAGCAGCACGGCCGGGTGGGGGTTTGGTTTTAACTGAAGGGTCTTTAGCAGGACGGCTCTGCGGGGAGAAAGGGAAGGACGATGCAATCGGTCCGAGCTCAGCTGCACTTTCCCTGGGCACAAGGGATTCACCAGCACCTGGTTGCTCCCCAGATCCTGCCAGACCCAAGCGTCTGGGCCCCATGGAGAGTCAGGGCAGCCTTGACCTGAGTTTCCCTCTCCCAGCTGCCGTCGCTGCCTCCCTTCTCCCCCCGGTAGCTGGGAGCAGATAAGGCCAAAGTCCCGGCAATCTCTGTTTTCCATTGAAGGCTGATAAACCGCACAGGCACAGAACGGCAGCGATCTCCACCCATCCCGGTTTTGTGCAGGAGAGAGTCAATATTTAAACCCAAGTTTGTTTCCTGGGCAGATAGGGGAGCGCTGGGGCTGTAGGTGGGAGAAATCCCCGGCTCCATCCCAGGCACCGGACCCAAACCTCCTCCTCCACCCCTTCATTTGTTCTCCCAACCGCAGGTTTCATCCCGGATCCCCGTCCCCATCAGCTGTGTTACATGAGCACCAGCTGCGGGGCCAGGCACCCGCTGATGGGGCAGCGATTTAAGGGAAGGGGGGGGTGCCCAGCCAGAGTTTGGCTTGTCTCCTTGCCTGCTTCTGGTGCAGACCCTGTCCCCATGGTGGGACACCTCAAATGAAGCACGGGCCAAGAAGAACCGGGGTTAGAAACAGGAGGAGGTAAGGAAACGTTTAATCATCCTATGAATGGCAGCCCCTGCTTCAAGGTAAGGCAGTGCACTGAAACCTTTGTAACCTGATTTTCATTTAAATTGACCAAAAACTGTATTCAAGTGGTGTGTTTCCAGCGAACCTCACGGGTCCCAGTGAACTGGGCAGAAATCGCTGGCAGGATGCTTGCTCTGGTGCAGATTTAGGTAAATTCCTTAAAGGAGAGGAAATGGCGCTTTTCATTGCAGCGGCTGCAGCCAGGCTGTGCGCAGGGCGTAGGAGGTTTTACAGGCATATGACCAGCAGAAGGTGCCCTTAATTTTGAGGGTGAAGGCATTATGTTCCCGAGCAGGTGTTGTGTGATCTGGGAGATGCAATGCCCAGTGTTGGGGTAGGCAAGAAACCAGCTAACGCGTTAAAAGGCAGGTGGGTAAGGACCCTGCAAGCTGCGCAGGGGAGGATGGAGCGGCGGAGCCCACCCCATGGGCTCAGAGTGGGTCTGACCGCAGCGAAGGGTCCCCATCGTCCCTTCCAGAATTGCTCAGGGTCAATTTTAACTCCAACTACCTGCTTTCATGTATGTTGTTTCAAGCAGCCAAGCCCACTGCTGCCTCCACCCTCGCTCCAGGTGCTCACAGTTTGCTCAGCCTAAACCTGCTGACCTTCCACGGAGGTGAGGAAGATCAGAGGGAATCTGAGTTTGCAACAGCTGGTTTAGCCCTGGCTTTGGGGAAGAAACCAAGGAAATGCCTGTGTTAAACTGAAACCTTCCCTGAGGGAGGGAGCCCGTTATGCAGGAAAAAAAAATAACACTTTTTTTAAAAAAGAAACACCCAAGAGTTGTTGTTTTATAGCTGTATTTCGGAGCACAGTTAAATCCTCTTTGAAATAATCTCTGGTGTTAGGGAACAGGGCCATGCATTATTTAACTTTTGTTACTGTAACATAAACTCTATGGGAGGAAGGGAGGACAGACGGGACCGACTTCACGACACCGAAGGGAGCTGGGTGGGAACCACCGGTCCCAGCATGTACCAGCGCTGTGCCGCAGGCCCTGGCTGGGAGGTGTGGATCAAACCCATCTGATGGAGGAAAAGCCCTGTGCAATGGCAGGTTGGGGTCCCCAGAGGACCGGGATGGGATGTGACCCCAGCTGCTGCTGCAGCAGCACACGGGAACCTGCTCAAGGACCCCCAAAACCTCTTCCCAGGGAGCGCAGCAACACCTCTGTGCAAAAGACTGCTTCGTGGGGGAACCAAAATGGGGGAAATCTGCCTGGCTGCCATGACAGCACAGACTGGTGCAAAAAAACCTCTTGTCTGGGGAGCTAAGGATAAATCCTGCCCTGCTGCCACCAGTGAGCTCTGCTACGCAAGGGCCAGCCATGCTCCCATGTGCATGAGGAGCCCTTGGCCCCGACGCCTCGCAAGCCTTTGGCCAGCTCAAGGTTTACTCCTTTATTCCAGACAGCAACGGACCGAGTGCCCCTCCTGCAAGGCGAACCCTTCGGTGTGTAGCTACTGGCAGGGCGCTGCCACGCAGCAGCCCAGCGCCGCAACATGCGGCTCCATGTCCATCAGCAAAGCGGCGATGCTCGGGTTGGGCAGGAGCCCGGCGGGGCTCGCGGTCCTGCCGGCTGGGAGACACTCACGCGATGCAGTCGTGCCAGTACAGAGACACGCTGCGCCCAAGCATGGGCCGGTCCAACCCAGGACCCATCTCCCCTGAGAAATGCCTGCAGGCTGCCTGCCCAGGTTACACCCAGCAGCTCTGAGTGTATCCTAAATACAGCCCGTCCTGCTGCAAAAAGCCTTCCCAAAAGCAGATACCACCTGCAGTGCACATCCCTCCCCAAGTGCTCTCTCCACGTCCAAGTCCCAACGCTGCCCCGGAGCCGAGCCGTACTTCTCTTTGGGACTGCGCTGCTCTTTGTAGTGGGACTTTATTTCCCTTTTCTGTTTTGATACTATAATTTCCCTTTCACGCCCGTGGGAGGCGGCGTGCTCCCTAGTGTTCGGGTACCCTCAAAACCTTAAATATGGGTCACGGGGTTGATCTCATGATACTATAATTTCCCTTTCACGCCCGTGGGAGGCGGCATGCTCCCTAGTGTTCAGGTACCCTCAAAACCTTAAATATGTATGGGTCACGGGGTTGATCTCGCCCAGCTACCTGCCACACAAACGTTTGCCCTCTCCAGAAGAGGTGAGACAGGAGGCTGGTCAGCTGGCGTAGCCTTCCCAGCAAGGCAACCTTGGATCTCTCGCCGCATTTCCCTTTCACGCCCGTGGGAGGCGGCATGCTCCCTAGTGTTCAGGTACCCTCAAAACCTTAAATATGTATGGGTCACGGGGTTGATCTCGCCCAGCTACCTGCCACACAAACGTTTGCCCTCTCCAGAAGAGGTGAGACAGGAGGCTGGTCAGCTGGCGTAGCCTTCCCAGCAAGGCAACCTTGGATCTCTCGCCGCTTCTCAGCTCAGGCAGAACGAAGCAGTCTTTTGTCCCTGCATCTTGGGGCTGGCTCGTTTAGTACCTGGGCTTTTTCTGGTTTCCCAGACTTCCCCAGCGACTCCAGAGCTACAGCCTGGACCAAAGAGACAAGACAACTCCCTTCTGCTCTCTCTGCTACGTGTCCTGGTCGAGACATCCACGAGGATGGGGCTTTGGTCCAGCTGGAGCCTGAAGCCAGATCTCCAGAAGCCAACTTGTTGCTGGCCTCGCTGGAGGGGAGCCGTCTCGTTCTGGCACCACAGGCTTTGGATCGAAAAGAAAAAATATACATATATCGAAACAAGCTTAGGGTTTCTTGAGGAGTCCAAGTTCATCACCTCTCCCTGCCGAGGAGTCAGTCGATGGGGAAGCAGGCGGCTGGCATGGGCGCTCTGCGGAAGAGCAGGCTGGAGCCGCGGAACAGCTGCCCCTGAGGAGGAGAGAGAGCACAGGGTCAGGGCAGCCGTGCTGAGACCCGGCCGGGGAATTGCAGCTGGTTTAGCAGGGACCGACTCGTGCCCACTGCAGGGCTGCAAGGCCCGAGTACCCCGGGTTGCTACGGAGGAGAAAGTGGGGTTTCAGCCCCGTGGGCGCTGGAGTCAGGCATTTCCCCCAGGGATGACTGACGGAGAGGGGCAGAACCACCTTGCTTTGCTGTGTGCAATGCGTTGGCTAAAAGTTTGCAGGCTGCAAGCTCGGGGCATGTAACGGGCAGAGCAGTACTGCCATGCCTGGTACCAGTGCCAGAACTGGAGGGATGGAAACAGGTTACAGAGCACGTCAAGGATGCGGCACAGGCACTTTTTAGGCAGCGCAGGAGACCTTGGGAAGGAGCAGAGGGAGCCCAAAGCCCCACGTGTGCCCCGCTCCCTCACCTGAGCACTGAGATACCTCCAGCAGTGGATCCAGGATGTAAATGCGGGAGCGTAGGGAGGGAGGCCGGCGCGCAACCTGCATGGCAACAAGAAATAGCTGAGACGGTCTGTACAGATGTCACATTATCCAGACAGGTAACACAAGAGCAGCAATAAGTGTAAGCGAGGACACAGAAACGGTGTCCGCACCGGGCTGAAGGCCAAATGACCAGCTCGTTATTTACAATGCAACAGATCATGTAATTTAATTTCCCCTGGAGCGTACAAACAAGGAGCGTTGCCTGGATATGTTAAGAGCCCAGGACTATACACTGTATCCACACTTTCAAGAGCCAGCAGATCTCGAGAAAACACTACACCAGCGGCTTGGATCCAGTCCCCTTCCCGTAAGCACGAATGCAGACTTCTTGCAGCAGTGGGATTGGGAAAGCAAGCTCGGTCCTGCTCCTGTCTGCACCCGTCGCTGCATTAAGAGCTTTGCTTCCCCTCGTGCTGCTCCCTGGAGCCAGCACGGTCCCTTTGATCCCTTCTGCCTCCGGTCTAGTTCAGATTGGACCACACCACCACGACTCTCCCTATTTCTCTCCACTTGAGCTTTTATGCTGCTCTTGTCTGTGCCCTCTGATCTAAAATTATAAGCAACCTGGGACAGGAAACGAGCCGACTCTGCGAGGTGCCATATAGTTTACGGTTCTGTATGAAAGCTTTACGATCATTAGCAGAGGATTCAGACAACAAGGGGCTGGAAGAAAGGAAGGGAAAGCCTTAGATCTCAGTGTGACGGACATACCCACAGTTGTTCACTGCCATGAGATCTCCCACGAGAAGGAAAGGGTACGTCAGCATGCTCACAGCAATCTGAAAGCACAGAAAACCGGTAGCCTCTCTAATGTTAATCATGTCAAAAAAGCTAGTTCCAGCTTTTGCATGTTAAGCAAAGTTATCCTCATCTTTGGATATAAAGTACAGACCAGCCTTTTCCCCCAGACCATGAGCTCTCACCCCAGAGATGTCAGGAAGAAGAGAGATGACATGGCAGTTGCCTACGTACCCCCATCACGAATTTTGTGTAGCTCCGGATCACCGATGCCTGGCTGAACTGGAAAGAAAAGCCAAAGGGATTACGGAGGAGGCGGATGACACCAGGCTGTCACTACATGACATCCCTCTGAGCCTGAGATGATGGGTGCGGGGCAGGGGAAGAAGGCAGAAAGCAACAATAACCACACCGCATCCCAGCTGAGAATCGGGGGAAACATTCGCTATCAAACCCGATCCCCTAAACTGCAGCTGAAACACAGCCCTGAGCAGACATGGCATCACTTACAGTGTTTTATCCAAAGCCCAGTGTCTGTATTAAATTAGCCGTTAACATCCCATTAACTCCTTCCAACTGCAGGTGCTTGGTACGGGCCCCCCAAACCCTCCATCAGGCACTTCCACTCACGTTATCGTCCACCGCATAGGTGTTGATGAAGTGAGCCAAGAGGTTGCAGCACCAGAGGAAGATGACATCCCCCAGGATGTGAGGGACTAAACCGCTGCAACGGCAAAGAGGGGCGTGAGGTGCAGAAGGGTCCCAGTGCCGCCTTCTGAGGTGCCCAGCCCTCCCCCACTCCCTCCACCAGCGCAGAGGAACCCCCCTCCCCTAAAATGCATCTCTACTTTGGGAGGAACTGAACGGAAAAGGGGAGATTTCAGGGAAGAGCTCTCCCGGCCTTCAAACACGGTCCTACGTGTGCCGCCAGCTGCTCCGGATGGGGGATGCTCTGGAGTAGGAAGTTTGGGATCTGTCGTTTGGGCACGACTCAGCCAAGTCCCCTTGTTCTACCCCAAATCCCTTCTTGGCCCAACTCCTGCTCTGAAACCTAGGCAAGACACAGATGAAGCGGGTTTCTGTTAAGCTCATTTTGCAGATGCTCTTCCGGATGCAGAATGAGAAGTTCATCTCTTTGTGGAGTCTCTCTCCTTTTAGAAATTAAAATGAGGGGGTTTGTTCCTGCAAAACCTGCTCTACTGCCAAGTGGGGTTAACTGGGGGCAGCACTCCAGTCCCTGATTTTCCCCGTCCCTGCTGCCACCTGAGAGGACGGGGACACAGGGTGACGTGCTGCTTTGGCTTACGGCTCTCATCGACACGCGGGCCGGAGCTCCCAGCAGCACAAGCACACCCAGCTTCTGCACCTAATGGCACTAAAACAGTAACAAAGCGTTTCAGAAGGTTGCTCCAGTTTGTCAGAGCTCCTGCAGCATCTGTTGCACCAGCGCCGGCATCGAGCGCAGGGCCTCCTGCTTTGGCTGTGCAGTTGTTCCGCTGCAAAAGGATCCAGGTGTGTTTTAAACCTGCCTGTTTCACCAGCAGATGTGTTCAGACAGTTTTTCTGAAAATGAGCCTGCTGAGAGCCACACGAGCGTTTGCCGGGCTGGAAAGAGCCACCTCCAGGCACACTAGTCCGAGCCATTGATTTCTTCCCAACCACCACGCTGCCCTTCGGAGAAGGGGACCAGTTTTGTTTCCTGCTGTGGTCGCTGCAGCAGCAGAACGGCAATGAGGACTGCGTGCTCTGATCCAGCCTGCTTCGCTCGCTTGGTGTTAGGGTTTATACTTTCTGGAGACAACCTGTGTACCGTCAAGGCCCCGGCAGCTCTGGAGATGCGGCCGAAGTCTCAGGGGCCAGGCACAGCAGAAGTCTTCAGTAGAAGATCTGCTGGCTTAAAAGATGTGATACATGAGAGCAACGGACAGGACAAAGAAATCGAAGCGCTCTGGTCCCAGAGATCGTCTGCTTTGCATTTAGCATTCAGCCTTTGTAAAATAAATAAATAAATAAATAAAATAAAATCCTTTCTCTAACTCAAAGTGAAGTCTGAAGCAGACTCCCGAGCTGCTGCAGATACAACAGGGGCTTAATAAAGTCCAGAAACAGAGGGCTGGTCCAGGCCTGGGCCACGGCAGCCATGTAAGTAAAACCTCACTCATCTGTTGATAGAGAATCGGGTCGTTTGTTCCATTTGCACTAAGGATCCCACCCCTCTCTCTCCTCCATCATCAAAGTAATGACGGATGCTGGGTCTGCGCTTACGGGATGACTGGAGACCAGGGGTCTGGGAGAGCTGCAGAAGGGGACTAAAAAAAACCAAATTCATTTGTGCTACAACTCTTACGCCTGGCAAGATGTCCAAGGAGATCTGGACTAGAAATATTTTTAGGAGATGACAAGTCATTAAAAGCTGAAACAGCGGCAGGCAGATGAGGAAGCCCGCACGATGTACGGTGATGCGACCCAGCAGGAAAAACCCCGGTGCCGGGGAGCTGGGACAAGCCATCTTCGAGCTGACCACGCGCAGCAGTTTCGGAGCCCAGGGAACATCTTCCCTGCCTGATGGCAGGCAGGAGACTGCTGCAGATACGAGGGGAAGCGAGATAAGTCCATCCCCTGAAAAGTCTTTATCTCTAGCCAGGCACGCATCCAGAGCGAGCGTGTGCTGCCGTTATTGCTGCGTAGAGGTTATAAGGCCATCAGAAATCAGCGCACCGCAATGATTTTAAGGGAGTGGATGTGTTTGGATCGAGTTAGGAGGGCTGAGAGCAGAAAAGCAGCAGTTTGGTCCTACGGATGCAATTTGTGCTCCCCTCACAGCAGTGTGATTTCCTAGCGGGGTTGTAGAGCACGTATAACTTCAGAGCCCTCCTGAGACATTTTGGGTTGTGTTAAAGCCTTTCCTGTGAACTATTAAGTTTAATTAGGCTACCAACAGTGTTTATTTTATGTGGAGGAAGGGAATGTGGCAGCTCCTTTCACGTTATTTCCTCGGGAGGAGGAGGAGAGGGAAGGCTACAGGACAGCGTGCTCCGGCCGTGCCCCACGCACAGGGAACATCCCAGAGGAAACTGTATTTAATGAAGGAGATTTGGGGCTGCACAGCTCAGCAGAGAAGCTGTGGGCTGCAAAAGGAAGATGCAGTGACACTCAATTGATGAGGTCTCTGCAGACCCCTGGCCCTTTCCCCTTGGGGAAGGACAGGGTGAGACCCCCTGCGATTGCTTGCCTCTTCCTGACGCAGTCATGTTTCATCTGGAGGCCCAAATTTCGTGATTGCAAAGCCAAAGGCATCAGGCCTGAAAACGCCTCCTGAAATTTTGGAGCTGCCTTTACTATTATTGACATAATAAAGTGAGTTATCTCCCCACCGGGAGCGGAGGTAGCAGGTGGTTCTGCTTTTATATAGATGTAGAAAAAAAGGCAAGAAGCGTTAAGAGTTCAAGCAGAAATTATATTATTGACATAATAAAGTGAGTTATCTCCCCACCGGGAGCGGAGGTAGCAGGTGGGTCCTTTTATATTTTATATATGATGTAGAAAAAAAGGCAAGAAGCGTTAATTAAGAGTTCAAGCAGAAGGGTGCCCACTAGACTTCCACTTTAGCGACGCCATCAATTTGCTACGCTTCGCAAGCGGCTGGAAGCACCTTTCAGCTCCTTCTGGTCCAGGCAGCAACGCCGCTGCGCCGGGCAGCGTCACGCTCCCACCGTACAGACAAACCTGCTGCCAGCATAAACCACCTGCTCATTACAAGCACCCACGGCGCTCTTCAGAGGAACGTGCTGCTTATCCAGGCCCTGGCTTTTATTTCAACAAGGGGTCTCACTGTTGCGCTGGATCTTGGTGCCTGTTGCACAAACAAATGCTTTAAATGCCCCTTCACTGAAACACAAAGAAGCGCCAAGGGAAAAAGGAAGGTGAGAAAAAAATACAGGGTTTTCCCTGGTTTGATTGAAGATAAGACCTGGGGCAAACTTAATGGTCAAACTGGAGCACTTTCTGTGTCAAAGGCACAGATTTAATCTGTGCTCATGGGAGTGATGTGAGAGTCTCGCGGTCAGACAAGGTTTCAGCTGGGGGGAGCTCAGCACAACTTCTTTAACTGAGGTTGGCAGAGCAGCCAGAAGAGCCGTCGGCGCCTTCGGACTATGGGAGAAAGTATTTAAATAACAACTCACGTACACAAAGAATCCCAGGATCCCTTCTTCCTTAAATATCCTGCCGATGGCGCTGAACACACCGCTGCCAAGAAAGGTAAAGAGCTGTAAGCGTGCAGGGGTTGCTCTCTGTCCCCCTTCACGTGCACTCTGCAGCCACCAGCCATAGCAGTGTCCCCCCCAAGCCGCCGTGCCAGCAATGCGGCAGGCAGCTCCGTTCTGCTCCTTCTCCTCAACCCATGGAGGGTCATGTCTGCACTCTGCCAGTCTGCAATAACGCCTGGGACAACACTCAACTTGCTGACAACTGTTTAAATGCTGAAGCTAGAAGAGCTCTGCTTGGTTTTGTGTGAGTGGATACACGTGCCACAACCACGGCGCGTAATATGCTTCGATTAGGCTGATTCTCAACCCAAGAACCCTGGTCCTGCCTCTGGGAGCTCGTGCTGGCAGTTGTGGGTTAGCCAAAATCGCGTCTAACGCGCTTTCAGGTGGCTGCAAGTGCAGTTTTGCCCTGCAGAGAGGTAGATATTACTGAAAAAGGCTTAGAAAAATCTTGGCAGGCTAGCAGGGTTGCAGCAACGCTTTGCATTACCTACTCCGCCTCCCTGCTGATTTCCCTCTCCATTAACACCTAAAGCAAAAAGGCAGGAGACTGGCTGTGTCATCAGCAAGGTCACACAGGAT